AGCCCCAGCCCTGCAATGTATTCTTTATTTTTTTCATTTTTTTTTAGTTGTAGTTGGACACAATACCTTTATTTTATTTATTTATTTTTATGTGGTGCTGATGATCGAACCCAGCGCCTTGCATGTGCCGGTTGAGCACTCTACCACTGAGCCACAACCCCAGCTCCTACAATATATTCTTAATGATGGCCTCGGTTTACCTCCAAGGAGTTCAGAATATCCAATGTGGTGTGAGAGATCTGAATTTTTATATCTCTGCATTGATAGTCATTGGATGTAGGGTTACTTTAGGAAAACGACAAGATCCTAGACCAATACAATTCCAGAAGAGTGCTGACAGTTTAGGGCTATAGTAGCAGTCTGAGCAAGCAGTTGAGGAATAGATTTTTTTTTTTTTTGGTACTAGAGATTGAATCCCAGGGTGCTTAACCACAGAGCCATTTCCCCAGCCCTATCTATCTATCTATCTATCTATCTATCTATCTATCTATCTATATTTTGAGACACAGTCTTGCTAAGTTGTTTAGGGCTTTCCTTAGTTACTGAGGCTGGCCTTGAATTGGAATCCTCTTGCTGTAGCCTCCCAAGTTGCTGGGATTATAGTCATGAGATTACGGATGTACAACACAACTCCTGGCAGATACTTTTGTTCTAAAGAGCTCCTGGGATTTTCATAACATCCAAAACAAGGAGTATGACTGTAGGGTAAATCCTAGGCAGTACTGCTGAGTCTTAGAATACATACCTTTTTTTTAATTTTAAATTTTTGTTGTAGATGGACACAATACCTTTATTTTATTTATTTCTTTTTTTATGTGGTGCTGAGGATCGAACCCAGTGCCTCACACGTGTAAGGCAAATGTTCTGCCACTGAGCCGCAACCCCAGCCCCAAACATATACCTTTGAAATTTATTTTTTTGAGTACCAGAGATTCAACCCAGGGGTGCTCAAATGCTGAGCCACATCCACAGTCCTTTTTATGTTTTATTTTGAGACAGGGTCTTGCTAAATTGTCAAGGGACTTGCTAAGTTGCTGAGGCTAGCCTTGAACTTGTGATCCTCTTGCCTCAGCCTCTGAAGTTGCTTGGATTACAGGTGTGTACCATCTCACTGGGCTCTGATTTCTTTCCTGATGCCCTATGGACACTTCAAAGTCAATGTGCCCCACCAAATTCATCATGTTTATCTCAAAAAATTGCTCTTATTCAGTATTCCTTAGTTTTCCAAAGTTTGTACCACACTGCTGAAGTAAAAAACCTTGAAGCCATCTTGGATTCTTCCCTCTTCCTTAACACTACTTTTAATTAATCATCAAGTTCTGTTGAATTTTATTTCTAAATAATTCCAATATCTGACTTTTCTCATAACCACCACTGCTATTCCATAGTTCATATCTGTTTCTTTAACCAGTATTAATGTGATAGCTTTTTACTCTTATTAGCTGCTAAGTGGGAAAGCCATCTTACAAAGAACCAGCCAAGGTCACCAGGCCACTCTGACACAATCTTTGAGGCACTTAGAGAAAATTTGGCTCATTGTAAATATTAAAATGAGCATACCCAGAAGCATTTACAACCACCATTTTTCTTTTCTTTTTATCATACTGAGAATTGAACACAAGGGGTGTTCTACCACTGAGCTACATCCCCAGCAGTTCCCCCATTCCTTTTTAAAGTTGAGACAGGGTCTTGCTGAATTTCCCAGGCTGACCTTGAATTTGCGATCCTCCTGCCTACAGTCTCCTGAGTAGTTGGGAATATATACAAGTACTGCAGCAACTGGCCACATATTTTCTTTTTTTGAAAAATTTGTAGTTGTGTATGGACAGCATGCCTTTGTTTATTTTTATGTGGTGCCAAGACTCAAACTCAGTGCCTTACACATGTTAGGCAAGCACTCTGCCACTGAGCTATAGCCCAGTCCCACACTTTTCCTTTTTTTTCTTTGCATCTTTTCTTTTTAAACATGTGCTCAATGATCTTCAGCTGAGCACGTCCAGAAATGGGTCTGTCATGGCTCCTTTTTAAAACTACAACCTTAAACTAAGCATGCCCAGAAATTTACACTTTAAACTGAGCATGCACAGATATGTGCCTGCCTCTGCATGTACTTTTCTGAATGAACATGGGATAATCTCCCTGAATAAAATCCCCATGCTGCTGTCCCTCAGGGAGAGTATAACTTTGCAACAACCCCTGTGCTCTCTTTATTTTTCTCCATTCTTTTATATCCTGGTTGTATTTTTGGCTTTGTACTCACTAAGATGCAAACCCACTGGATTCAGTTACATTCTTACCTTCCTCTAACCTATTCTGAATACTGTTGTCAGAAGGATTTTTTTTTGAACAAGCAAAACTGGTTATATTTCTCCTCAGCATAAAATTCTTTCCCATTGCAAATAGAATGATGAAATCTAAAACCGCTACAATAACTCTTCATAGTTGACCTTTGCTTATCTGTCTAGTCTTTTCTTATCTATTCCTTTTCCTTGACTTAATCTGTAATATTTAGACAGGGTGCATTTCTCAGAATATATATTATAATGCGTATACACATACACACACACACACACACACACACACACACACACACTCTCACTGTTCTACTTGAAAGTTTCCTGCTCTCTCCCCCACTGGCCCTTCAAGTAAGATCCTATTACTTGTGAATTTACCTCTTCATGAAATCTACTCTGACTCACCTAGAACTCAACCTGTCAAATTTTATTTTTTTATTCACATAGCTCTTTTTAAATATTTATTTTTTAGTTTTAGGTGGACATAATATTATTTTATTTTTATGTGGTGATGAGGATCAAACCCAGTGCCTCACACATGCCAGGCAAGCATGTTACCACTTGAGCCACATCCCCAGCCCCACACAGCTTATTTTTAACTTGCTTGCATGTTTGTTTAGTAGTTTTAGTTGTCTGATGGAAAAAGACCATTTTTTTTTCCTGCTATCTCCAGCACATATCATCATCCCTATCAAGACAGCAACTCAGATTCTTGACTGAAGATAACTTCAAGATTTGAGGTTTCTCAGGAAGGGGCTGTTGTAGTTAAAAATCCTGACTCCTTCATTCTAGTTTCCAAGATGCTTTGAAAACCTATCAGGTAGTTAATTTTTTTAAAATGATAATTTATTTCCCTATCATTTCAGGTAGAATTGACCATACTGCCTTCATTCTCCTGATTGTTGCATATGCCCTATCTTAGCACCAATCACGTTTAAGTCTGTATCTTAAGCATCTGAGATAATAGGCATGCCATTGAAAGGGAAAATGACTTCCTTCTCCCCTTCTAAGTTGTTTGGTCTGTGAATTAAATTGACCTGGTTAACAGGAAAACAACCCAGGCTGGCCCTGAACTCCTGGGTTCAAGAGATTCTCCTGTTGCAGCTTCCCAAGTCGCTGAGACTACAGGCTGTCAGCCATGCCTGTGCAAAAGAACAAATTTAATTATATATGGAGTTCCACCAAATGAGACTCAAGGGCTAGATGAGTGAAGCTTATGTAATATCCTGACTTACAGAAAGGAATCGGGACTTGGGAGTTTTGGGGGATAGTGGAGGCAAATTAAAGAAAGATGAGGGGAGGAAGTGAAAGGTGAATAAAAGTTGTCTTGTTTTGAAGATAGTCTTTTGGGTGACAAAAGTTGCCTAGGAATAGCTGTCTTCCTGATACAGATACCTTTATTAATGAAGGTTTCTTTTATAGATGTATATTTCTCTTTACAAAAGGGTTGTTTTGTATTTTAGGCAGTGGAAGGGAGCTCACGAGCTTTTCTTGTGTTGGTTGGTTCTCAAGGTTTTTAGCTCAAAATAATCAATATGCCAGAGGGGCATATTTTAGCAAGGCACAATCTGGTCTCCTAAAGTCATGTTATGGTGTAGTATATCCTGAGACCCAACACTATAGTGAGTCAATGCTCACCCTGATTAAAGGCACTTTCTGAAACATTCCAGGATAATTTCCCAATTATGAATAGACGGCAAAAAAATCTTCACAAAAAATTTTAAGGCAAAATGATTGCTTTAAAAACGCTGTATCTTCCAGACACTTTAATTGTCCTTAGACAGATGGCTAAACCTTGGCTACGGGAAACGCATATGCTAGGAGAAAACCCACTAAAACGCTAAGAAAAGGATGATTGGCTGCTGGGGCTCAGAAATTACATGTTCCCCTCAGACAAACACAAGAACCAGGAAACCGCTGAACATTCAGTTTTGAAATACGATTTCTGCACCGCAAAGAAAAAATATTAACCTATCAGGAAGAACCCAGCAATTCCAATTACCAATCAACAGCGGGAAAGAAGCCAAAGCCTAAGGATACCCACGCACCAAAGAGGACGTCATTCTTTAGTCTCCACCAATGAGTGGCTGGTTGGGGGCGGAGCAATAGGCGGACCAACTGCAGTAGAAAATAAACAATCCTCAGCACATTCTCCTAACCGTAGTGTCTGCTTCTCAAGCCACTGGAGCAAACTCCCAGGCAAGGCAGTTAGATGCTTTCCACTCTCCTCCTCGCTTAGAACGGTTAGAACAGGAATATCTTCTTTTCAGTAGAGCCAGGGCGTTCTTTCAATCCGCTCCCACGGGCTCGCAAAAATCTCTCAACTTTTCGCTTTCTACCTTTAGAGGAACTGGGAATCCAGCGCTACCTGGGGTAGGGGCGGCGCCAGTGCGCAGGCGTGCATGCCTTGTGGGGGCGAGGCTGTGGAAGCCCAAGGAAACCTGGGAGCTGTATTTCTCCAGCCGGAGAAAATTCCACCGCTCCTAAGGCCTCGGGGACTACATTTCCCAGGAGCCTCCGCGATCTTGGGGGCGGGCGGGCTGGTTCGTTAATGAGTTCGAGGAAGCCGCAGCGCGGCCCACCAGGTTCCAAAACAAGGAAATGAAGGGGGGAGGCGGGACTGGGGGTGCCTGCGGGAGCCGCCGCCGCCGAGGAGGAGGAGGAGGTGGAGGAGGAGGAGGAGGTGGTGGTGGCTGCCGCGGCCGCCAAGGAGTCCCTTGCTGAACGCGGACCGCGGAGTGGCGGGCGGCGCGCGCGCGCGTGCCCGAGAGGTGGCTGTTGGAGAAGTGGAGCGGCGGTCGCGGGGGGAGGAGGAGGAGGGACTGAGCGGCGGCGGCCCCCGCGTCCCGGTGCCTCTATGGGGGAAGCAGACAATGGATTATGATTTCAAGGCGAAGCTGGCGGCGGAGCGGGAGCGGGTGGAGGATTTGTTTGAGTATGAAGGGTGCAAAGTGGGACGCGGCACCTACGGGCACGTCTACAAGGCGAGGCGGAAAGATGGGTAAGAGCACGGGCGGGGGGAGTGGGCTCGCCCTGGTGCTCGCCCTGAATGCGGCTGGGCGGGATGGGTGGGTCGGAGCTCTGTCGGGCCGAGCCAGAGGGGCGAGGCTGAGGTGGTCGCGGGGCCGAGTCCAGGGGCTGACTCTGAGGGACACCCTTCTGCCCGCCCCCGCGCGGCCCGTCGCGCCCCTCGAACTCCCGCAGCGCAGCCCAGTCCGGGGCGTCGGTCCCGTCGCGGTGGACGCTCACCGCTTGTTGAGAACTGGCTGCGGGACATGAGTTGGGACCTCCGTTGGAGGTGGAGTTTGTGGGGTCTGGTCTCTTGGGGAGACGCCGAGGGCTCTGCTGATGAGTTGCCGCTCTGGCCCTGGGGTAGTGACGGTCGTCGTGGAACTTCCAATCGGCTGAGCGCTTCCCGGGGGCGGCGGTTTGAAACCTCGCCCGGGAGTCCGTCGGGCGGACGAGCGCTGGGGTCCTAGTGGGCCCTCGGGTCTGACTCCTGGGCACCACCAGCCCCGGCCCCTGAGCACAGTTTCTCCGGTTCCTGTCGTATACCTGGCTACTTCTCGAGCCCTCTTCTGCCCCCAATTTCGCAGTCTGACGTTCTGAATTCTGCATCTTCCTCCGCAAGGTGGGACCTCCTTTTTTTTTTTTTTTTTTGCCAGCGTTAACTTTAGAGTTCTCTTAGGCTTTGATGCCTTCCTCCTCCTTTCCCCCTTGGGTGTCTTAGGTATTTTGAGGTCCTACACTCCATCCTCTACCAATGATTGCGTGCTAAGGTTTATCGAGGACCTTGATTATCAACGGAATACGAGTGACAGAGCTGGGCCTGAACCTTTGTTTTCCTGGGAGTTGAGGGAGAACTGTAGGAAACCCCTTGGGAAGCTTCTTCTGATCGTTGTCTTAGAAGCTAAAACAAGCTAGATAATAATATTCGTCCTGGAGGGCGAATGCTCTCCTACAGCCGGACAGGTGGAACCAGCTCCCTGCTTGGGAAGTCTAGGTTTAAACCAACTGTCACCTCTGTCCCATTCTGGCAGGAATTCTCCTCCCCCAGGGTTGGGAAGCTCTGGAAAATCTGCTAGTCTCTCTTAGACTCTTAAGACTGTCCGATTTGTAGGGAAGAGAGAGTTTTTAGAATTGTAACAGAACGTTTTTGAATAAACGAATTTTTAGCCACAATGACATCAGTAAGATCTGGAGTGCTACTTATCTTTCTGCATGCACTATTGTAATTCGATATGGTTGCTTTGAAAACTCTGGGATCAAAGTATATAGGTGGTGTGTGAACTAATTTCATAAAAGGAACAACAAAATACAACCTTATAGGTGTACTATAAAGTACCATGGAAATTACAAAGTATTATTTGAACTTAAAGGATTATTATTCTTGCATATAATTTTTTTTCTCTTGTAGTAACTACACAGGCCAGTACCACTCAGTTGTTTTTCATAAGTCATTTAATTACCAGGTGTTCCAGAATGCACATCACCTAATGTAAGATACTATAATTGACTTGTACTTTGTTTTTGGAATATCCACTCTAGTTGTTATACTGGTGTTTCTGTGGGAATCTTATTAGATATTTGGGGAAAGTGCATCCATTTTTACTGTTTGGACATTGTCCTAATAATGTAATTCAGAGGTGTTTTTTTTTTTTTCCCCCTCATATTCCTTAGGTTAACTTTGTAATGTGCTTTATATTGAATTTTTTGTTAAAGTAGCTCTCTTTCAGCCGGCAACTTTTGAGAAAAATTTAAAAAATTCTGCTTCTGATTTGCATTTGAATAGTATGGGCTTACAACAAAACCCAATGTAATTCCTGTTTCTGTTTGTTATTTTTGAATATTTCTCCCTCTAATAAAATTCTTGATTCGAATACACCTCCTTCTTGAGTGAAATTTGTTAATTAGAATTAATAAAGTTTCTTTTGTATAAGATTGTGAACCTTGAAACCAGATTTTTTTTTTTTTTAACCACCATTACAATCTGAAAGCATTAGTTCAATAAAAATCCTTCCCTCCTTTGGATCTAGGGTCTGGTTGAGATTTGTCACTTTATAGTAAATACCCACATCTTTTGTGGGTTAGGAGGAGGATTAGTTTTATGTTCTTTGACAATCAGCAATTTTCGAGAACAAAGTTTTTCTTGATGGTTCTAAACTGAGACACAGATTTACATAGTAAGGAATTTTACGAGGCAGGGGTTGTGGCTTTGTGGTAGAGCACTTGCCTAGCAAGTGTGAGGTACTGGGTTTGAGTCTCAGTACCACATATAAATAAATAAGTAAAGGTTTATCAACAACTAATACAATTTTTTTTTTTTTTTAAAAAGAACTTTACACTCTGATCATGGCAAATTACAGTTTAGCTCTTCCCAGATTTTGTTTTTGTTTGCTCAGAAAAATATTGGTATTTTAGGAAGTAAGAGAAGGTATGTTAAAGGTAGTGAAAAGTGTATGTTAAATCATTCAGGTGTATGTAATATATAACAAAGTCTTTAGAAAGAAAATTGGAAGAAATAACAAAAATCAGTAGAAAAGCCTCTGCCTATAGTTTATACTGTAGTTTACAAAACCTTAGAATGTTGTTTTCTTTGAAATAGGACTTTAATTTAGGCTATATTAAATTTTCAACAGACTGGAAATGTTAAGACAAAAATCTGAGTTCTCTCTTTTTAAAATTTTTTTGTGGAGTGTCATGATGTTTCCACACATGTATATATTGTGTAATATTTAATTCAGGGTGAATATACCACCTCACATTTGTCATTTCTTTTGTGGTGAAAACATTCAGAATCCTTTTTTATAGCTTATTTGAAATACAGTACATTGTTGTTCTCTATAGTTACCTTTTTATGTAATAAAACATCAGAATTTATTTCTTCTAGGAGTTTTTCACCTTTAATAAAAATGTTATTTGTTTACTTTCTTGTTTTGAAGGGTCTTGGTGCCTTTTAAAAAAATCAGGCTTAAAAGTTGTTATCAATGCTGGAAATTGAATCCAGAGCCTTGTTTATGCTAAGAATGCACTTTACCATAACAACCCAGCCTTGAAAGTTATTCTTGAAGAGAAACAAGTTCACAGAGTATTTCTAAACTTGTTAGTATGAGTATGAATTAATAAAATAGTTTCTCTTCATTAGTAAAAAGTCCCAGATAACAATTAGGGTTACAAATCTCAAGGCTATATTTCTCCAATTGGAAACATTTTTTATTTTGATTGATAAAAGGAATATTGTTAAGGTCAGATGTTAAGAGGTTCAGAAAAACATGGCTCCATAGCAGAGTATTAACATCTGAAAACTGTTGTATCCAACAATAGCTGTTTAACTTCACAGACATTCAGTTAGTCTATTGAATCACCGAAATAAAAGAATGTTCCATTTTGGATCTGTTTTTGAAAGATGCATAGTAATTAAAAGTAAAATGGTTGACAGAGATATCCAACAGTTCTAGTTTGACCTTAGGGTTTCAAATGAGTAATTGGTGACTGGATACTTTAATGTGTTATGAAATCCTTTACAAATTTAGTAAGTACCTGTAGATACATATGGCAAATAATAGGTCCCATAGTATCTGTTTTGATGGGTATTTCACAATTGGTTTTAGTTAGAATAGATCATTTTATATGCATTTTTTATTGGTGATCTCCTAAAGGTTAAAAATATTTCAGTATGATCATAGCATATTAGGATTTGCAAGAGTTTTAGATAGAGTTCAACTTCCTCTTTTTACAGGATAGAGACCTGGAGCTTTGAGAAGTTAATTGTAATGCCATTGTCTCATAACAAAGATGAAACTAGTAATAAAGATCTCTGAGTTCTTGTGGTTTCCAGTGTGTTTTTCTTCCTAATATAGGAAGAAAACTAAAAGAAGACTGTATTGCCACTAGTCTTGATAATTCTTATTGTACAACTTTTTCCATGCAAAAATTATATGTATACCAAAAAATATGGAAAAGGGAAAATATCACATTAAAAGGGACATTTTATTTATTTTGGTGTTATTTTTATTGGTTCTTTTTATATTTAACATTAGGATTCATTTTTGACATAATTATAAAAGCATGGAATTTAATTTGCTGTAATTCATTCCCCAGTACTTCTCTCTTCCCTCCTGTCCCCCCCCCTTCCTAAATGGTACATTTTATAAAAGTGCAAGAGGCAGAGCAAACGCCCCTGCGTTTAATCCCTAGCCCTGCCAGAAAGAGAGTTGTATAGTTCAACAGATTCTATAGTGTAGCTGTTTCTCTTCATCGTCACTGTCACTAATTTTGACCATTCTTGGTCTCTGCCTTTAATCTTTCCTTACTATAGTCCAAGATCCAGTTGCTGCCAGTGTCACTTTCCTGCAAAATAAAATTAGTCGTATCTCTTTTCGGAAAATTGTACATTTCCTATAGTTTATATTATTCAGTCTTAATAGTTTGGCTTCTAAAGACATTTGCATTCATATCTTGAAAGTGCAGTGCTTTTATACTTACTGTGAATGCATCCAAACCATATACTTCTGTAGCATATAATTGCTCATATTTTCTATCTTCTTTCGTGTTTAATTTTCTTTGTTCCATTCAAACTAGAATGGTATTGCTGTACCATTCCTCCTTTTCCATTTCCCTTACCCTCACAAACTTGGCAAACTCCTGCTCATACTTCAGTACCCAACTGAAATAGCTTTTCTTCTAGAGTATTCATTTAGTGTATTTCTTAGATATGCTTCTATCCCTCTGTATTCTTATGTGTGTAATATTACAATAATGACATTAATATCTTTCATGAGTGATTAACTCATTTTTCTGTCTCCAGTGTTTTCTACAGGACTGGCCATGTAACACACTATCAGAAATTATATGGAATTTTAAAATATTAAAATATGTCCTAAACTAGTAAGCATGCTTCACTGATCTTAAAAGCCAACCAAAATTATTTTTAAAAATAGTCTATTTTCTTAAAAAGCAATATTTTTAGTAGTAGTTTTGAGAGCTTGAAATATGGTGGTG